GAGCAAAGCCTTGAAAACTACAGCCATTAGTCCTGTCATCCCCTATAAAGTTAATGGGTTGGAAAAATGGTCAATCTTTGGACTAAAAGTTGATATTTAATTGAAAGAAAATGTTTTTTAATTGTAATGGGGATTCTGCATTAGTGTGAACATGAAAAGCTACTAAAGAATCTAATGCAAGGTTATGTATTGATTTCCATCTTAACGCTAGTGTAAAATGAAGAAATATTTCTGTTTCATAAACAAACTGACCTATTCAGCACCATGACTTATTTGTTTTAAGGGCACAGAAGACAGAATTGAAAGAAGAAACAACAAAATATTCTTGGACATTTTTTGCCGGTGTATAAGACAAAAGCCATGGCACTGCTGTAAACCATGGCTGACTCTGCATCAGAATTATCAAGATGTTATATGCCACTTCCATGTTTTCCAGGGTTATTTGGTTCAGGAAAGCAAGAGCATCTGTAAACCTAGCATTACACAGCCTTAATCAAAATGGTTTTAGTGATCATGGATTATAGCAAGGGACCTGACATAATGCATGTGCAAAGTCTGGCCACAGAATTAGCATCACTATAGCCCAGATAGATGAACATATTTAGAAAATGTAGTTTTTCTTGAAAAGGAGAATGCTTATGTTAAATGAATTTAAATTCTTAGTATTAATAATACTTAGAACACTATACTGGATTTGGGGTATTTAATTTTCCTTTTAATACAAACTTACGTAAATCAGGTTTTTTAAAATCCTATAGAGTTTTCCCCAATAATAAGCCACTGTTTTGACATTCCACTTAATGCACTAATAAACAAAAATTTCTCAGGAGTGATACCTACCTAAGATTTGCAAGTTGGTATAAGTTACTTTATTTAAAACTGAAAGATGAAAAAAGCATTGCAAATACTTTATGAAAAATATTGCTATAAATCTGTTCTAAAAGTTATTGTGATACTGAGTACTGTGCTGTTAAGGTGCTTCTGTTATATACCCTGTAGTCTACCATTTGTAAACACATCTTTTTGATGTTTCTGCCAACATCCTGGCAACAAAGCAGTGCAATTTCAAATGAGCTAATTAACTTAATTGTTGATGAAGCATGAAACAGTTCATTCACCCTGTTAGCTGCACCATGACAACATAAGAGTCTCAGCCCCTGAAGTTACTCATCTATATAAGCCTATCTGTAGCTTTCCATTAAGATCTATTGCATGCCAAATGAGTATGGCTCTTCTAACAAAGACCAGTCCGTAATGTACATAGGTAGGAAATCAGTGCTGTTGTTGAAAACTCAAATGAACACAAATACTAGCAAATACTTTAAAATGTAAAAAAAGAAAAATGCAGATATGCATCGTAGTTTGAAGCTGCAGATGAAAAGCCAAAGCTGTCACTTTCTTTCTAAATGCTCTGATTCAGACAATAGCTGGCTAAATCAAATGCTGAAAAATGAAAACTTTTACATCACTGTTCAGTCCTGAAGGGTGCAAACCCACCTGTTCACAGGGGTTTTTTTTTCTATGTATCTTGCACACATATAAGAATAAAAGCCGAAATAGATTAGCAAGTGAGAGTAAAATGGTCATGCTTAGTCCTTTGCGCTTTTTAATTTATACTATACACATTAATTCCCACTACACATAAACTGTCAGAATTGAAAAAGTGTTTTTTCATACTCATACTATCCAATATAAAATCTAAAGCATCTCTTCAAATTTTCTGAGGCTCCATTTCAGCAAAGGATAATAAGAGGATTAAACACTGAGCTATTGAAAGGCCTGCAAAAGTGTTTGACATGAAAGAAAGGATAACAATTTGACCCTCTCCCGATAGCCTCGATTATCCCATTTCTTGAAATACACAAAAAAATCTCTGACATGGTTTACAGTAAAACTTTGTTTGCCATCTTTCCCTTGCCTTAAACAATTCTGTACCAATAAATAAAAATCCACCTACTTTAAAAATTGTCCAAAATCTTCACAAACGCTTTCACAGCCAGGCCATTTGCAAACTCCATGACCATAGAGAGTATGGGAGGCCCCAGTCTCCTCATGTGACGAGCTGTAGCAAAAGAATAAGGCATCAGATTCATCTCAAAAGCCATAATCGTTGGAGGCTGCTAGCACCTGTCAGGTTACGATCAGTGACAAACAGGTCAAAACAGGTCAATTTAGCTCAGAGCAGTCAGAAAAATTTAATCGTTCTATTGAATAGTTCAACTGCCAAGGCTAGATGATGTTCCAATTAGAGAAGAAATAGAGCCAAAGATGACTGTTAATAAAGGATGAAAAAATAAGATGACTGTATAATACTATATGCTAATTATGCCATATGACCTTGGTGTAACATTTACCTATAAATAAAAAATATGCTCAGAAGTGATCAATTCTGAGTAGAAATATTGAAGACTGACAGTCAGAATTTAAGAATATCATGATTGCTATAAAACCAATTTGAGTTTTCTGCTTAAATGTGTATAAAAATAAAGTTGCTTCCATTAATAAATATTTTGCTTCACAAGCATTGCTTCCATTAGTGACTTGGCTTCATAAAAATCCCCAGTTGTATTCCATGTCTTTTTTTTGGAACCACTGCAATAGCTTCATTCATGTGGAGTTATCAAAGAAATTCTGGGGATTGTCCCATGGATGTGGGCATCAGCGACACATCCTGATGCAAAGAACCATTCTGTGAGACATAACCACAAGAGTAATACTAACTAAAAGTGCTATTAAAAAAGTGTTCATATTTTTAAGCAATACAAAATAATGATAGAAAAAATGTTCTCACAGTTACATGAGGATGACAGACACTTAAATCATAGTCTCCTTTTATCAATATTAAAATAATTAAATGGAATATTTATTTGAAAAACAAATTTATTTACAATTTAAGTTATGTAGATACAAATTATATTTCATCTTACACTGAGATCATTACATCTGACTACACTAATATATTTACTGATAAGTGCTACAGATACTATGTACTCTTGTATGCATTTAATCCATTACTTGAAATTAAGGAACAGTAAAGAATATCTGTTAATGTGTCTGGAAGATGATTTAAACTTTATCCATATGGTGGAATTCCACTAACCACTGAAAATTTGTTTGAAATATGTCAACTGCAGTAGTCATACGTAGCAGAAAAAATATTCAGTGGTTCTTTTGACGAGAAACAAACAACATGAGAACTGCCTTAATATACTGTTTTGAAGCACTTTTAACATAGAATCTTTGCACTGAATTACTGCCTTGACAACTCAGACAGATGCACATTTTCAGCAAAACCAGGAGTGTGATTCAAAAGAAAGGGCCTGACTGCCAGGTGCGTTAACACAAATATGAATGAAACTAAGCACCTACAAAGTGCCCACAAATATGCATTTACACCTCTACAGCAGCCCACTCTCTTCCGTGACTTCTAATTTTTACCCAAATTAGTATAAGCTCATGTGTTATAAAACCACAGGCAGGTAAATGTTTTGTCTGCACAATTAGACAACGTTTATGAAAACTATGCCCTATCGATAAACACTTCTGAAAAATCAGGTCTCCAAGATCTCTTTAGTAACCTGTATTGTGTTATTTTGTGATTGAAAATAATGTGACTTATGATGCTATATAACAGCTTTATGTCAAATGATAAGCACAGTTGAAATCTCATCAGAATTACCTGTCTCGCCTTGCATTTAGAACTGAAGACTGTCCATTCACTATGGAATGATGAGTTATTGGTGGTGATGCTTTGGAAGTGGTGGAGGAGGTAGTAGAGGAGGAATTGTTAGTAGTGAGGTCTAGCCCTCCATGTTTAATGCCATTGTCTTCCATACTGTGAACTCCAGTCACTTCTTTCCATAACTGCTGAATCTCAGCAGGACTTAAGCCAGCTATAAAATGAAAGAGAGCCCCACTAATATAACAAAATAAAGAGTTTCATATAATGAGCTCAGTGTTATTAATGGATTAATGCCAACAATAAAGCTGATGCTGTTCTTTCAGGACAATCAACATGTAGTAAAACATAGATTCATTTTTCTTCCATCAGAATCCAGGTAATCTAACTATCCTCTCTCCCAGGAAATCTAACTATCCTCTCTTGTGTTATAAACAGTCAATTAGAAATAATCAATTTTAATAATATTATACTCCTTCTAAAACCATTGCTTGAGGACCAAAGAGTAAAAGCTGCAGAGAACTTGCAACTACTACTTGAAAAGAAAAAAACAGAAAACCCCAATCCTGTATTTACTTCAGACAAGATTTTTGTTGTCTGCTTAATTGATTTCTTGGAATGGAAACATATGTCAATGCATCCACAGTTAACTCAGGTTTTATAATTCTTCTTAATCAAACATGTAATGGAAAATAGAAAAACATATTACACTAAGGATACAAACATTGATATTCTCTTTAAACACTTAACAAGAGCTGGGTATGGGGGAAGAAGACTGGAGGGAGGAAAATCATATGAGAAAATTAAATCAATGAAATCATAACAGGTTTAACATTTGAGTGGAATGCATCTGACTTTAATTAATGACACACATACATTCATTAGTCCTGTTTAATATTTTAAAAAATTCTTCCATTGAAAAATATACCTTAAGAGGAAAAACCAAAGTCAGTATTTGGAAGAACAAACACCACAGTGCAGAGCTACATACTGGTGACCATTTAAGCTTTCCAGTAACATTCAGTGGCACCAGACAACTAGAATAGCCAGCAAAATTGGCCCATTTACAACTCCCTCTACACAGCGAGTGAAATTGTATGCAGTGTAGACCATCAAATTTCTCCACTATATGTTTTTGTCCAGCCCTACTGTGAAAAACAAATCAGAGTTTGGGTAGGAGAAAAGAGACTGTCTTGCTGTCTGCTGGGGTGATGGGCAGCCATACAAGACTTGAAGAACTCCTCAAAATTCTCTCCTATATGCATAGTACTACTCTGGGGTCTAGCCACCAGATCTTTGCAGATAGAGCTTAAACTTGTGCTCTACTCCACTTGCAAAATGGAAACTTGCAGTTTCTGGGACTCATTCTAGGCCACAAACAGAAACGTCTTGTTGAAGGAATTCATACATATGTGTTAGGGTTGTCTGGCTCAACTTCAGCACTTTGCAGGGAGTCATGGTAACTTCCAGTACAATATGATTCTGCCTGAAGTAAAGACTCCCAAAACACAGGCAAGAGAAGGGCGTGAGCATTCTCTTATCTTGCCATCGAACATGCAGCTAAGAGAGAAAATTCAGATTCTGGAAGATGAAGAGTTCATCAGAAATATATACACCTTCTGTCACTGTCAGACTTTGTAAGTTTGACATCTCTCTTTTGGAAAATACTAAATTAAATGTAGAAAAGAATGTGAAGTCCAGAGAGTTTCTTGTGAAAGATCTGATTTCATAGCCAGGTTTTTCAGCCTGACATGGTTTGGTCCAGAGGTATCTTAAAATCTAATTCTGTCTTCTGTATCTCATCTCAACTGAAATTAGATAAGACATACTCACAGTATCTAGATCTGCTGGAATGCAAAACATTCAAAATGCTGATGCTGTCTGAATCAAAATTTCACTCTTTTTATTTAATGAAAGGGCTCAAATTTCTGGTCCTGAGAAGTACTAAAAAGCACTTATTTATTAAAATTTGTCATTGAATATTATTTTGTTTGGCAAACAAGATATAGGAGAAAGATGTAAAGACTGATTTCCACTGATTGGCAAATCTGTTTATTAGACTCTGAGAACATATGAAGTCAGGCTACTAAAACAGATTCCACAAAAAAAATTATGAAAAACCACAATAAGTTCCTTAATACTTCTCAGTAGCTGTCTCACTATGAAGTATACAAAGCTATTAAAAATAGACTAGGAGTGATTTACAGAAATAAATAATTTCTGGAGGCATTGTGGAAACAAAATGGTTAGAGGGTGTTCTTTTTTTTTAAAAATTCTGGTAGGAGCTAATTTTCAGACCACCATTTTGTGTACTGCTTCTCTGCTTTAGATGTCAACATCCATTGGCAGACCCAGTCAAGGACAAAATGAAAAAGAGTTGATTGGAATGTTAGTCCTAAAACTGGAGTTTGTATCATATTTGTATATCAGAGAGCTAGGTTTTAAGGAAGCAAGCAAAGAAGTCAGGCTCTAATTTACTGCATTAGAGAGATGGGTAATGGGAGTAATGGTAACACTAGTTGTAATTGTTTAATGAAGGTAAGTAATTACTGCGGAGTTCATGAGGTATGTTCCAGCAACACTGCAAATAACCCATTTTAGTGTGGTAAATAACAGTTACCTGCAAATGCAATCACAAATCAAAATGAAATGTATTCATTTAGGTGGCATGATATACACAGTACATTACTTACTTCAAAGTCTTCCCTTCCTCCTGCTATTGAACAAAATAAACTAATTTTGTACTGAAAAAAAACCCCAAACTCTACCAAGAATAAATCCATCTGTTTGGATAATCAGAGGGCAAACATATCATGTCTTGCAGTGAGAGAAATCTCAGTGGAGATCATCAAACCTTAGGTCCTGAGGGAACTGAGTAAGAGCAACCCTACAAGCTGGGTGAATGAAAGAGGGCTGGGAGCAGCTGGAGCAATGGCCTGAGCCATGGGCTGGGGTCTCCTGCCCCTCTGGGCATCTACTGGGCAACCCTTTCCCCTGCAGGAAGCTATGGATGGGGAGCTATGCCTCCAGGCTGCCTCGCTCACCTAGGTTTTTTTAAATCAGAAAGAAATTTTTCTCTAGGTTCAGGCTGGTTAAATTTTATCACTTCTTCAGGGCACTCTGAAAGGCTGCCTTTTAGGATAAAAGGATTAAGGGCAGGCACTTAAAAAGTATAAAGTTAATATGTGGATTTGTAATTAATTGTAAATTATGGCAATTTTGTGGTTCTGTATCTAAAAAGGTCCAACTCTCATTTTACAAGAGACCTGTAAAATGGCTGACAGATATTTTAGCCTGGATGTAAAAGTAGGGTAATTTTTAAAGTTTCATAGGTTGTGATAACCCTCAAAAAACCCTGTCCACACTACATTAAAGGGGAAAGGATCAGAAAGAGGAACCAGCGGAATTAAAGTTAGGGACTATAATGAAAAGGACAAATACTGATTTGTTATGAAATTTACAAACACCAAGAATTTGGGGATTTTGAGGTTACTTTTGTAACTCTTTTCATCTCTATCTGCTCTACTTTTTGTTTGAATAAATGCTTAATAACACTATTTACTTATAAAACCCATCCATGCAACTGTTTTTCATTTTCCAACATGAGTGATCAAAACTCAGTGTTTGGGGTTGGTTTTATTTTGTTTGGTTTGGTTGGGGTTTTTTTTCTATCTTTGTTATTTACAGTTCTTTGCATTTAACTAGCATCAGCACAGCAATACATGGAAGTAATTCACAGCAAGCTACTGGTTTTGGATATGGCATAGTGAAGATCTTGTCACAAAAGAGATGCTAAAACACCTATTGCATCTTATTTGTGA